TAAACCCTAAACCCTAAACCACATCCACACCCAGAGCCTTCGAAGCAGGAAATCCCAGGCCCTGAATTGAACCACGCCGGGACAGTTTACAGAATAGGGACCCTAAAATGTTTAGGGTTTAGGGTTCCTGATTTTCAGTACTATGTCCTAGACGCCCAAACCCGAAACCCTACCTAGAACCCTGAACCCTAAACCCCCACAACACTTGTCTAAACACGAAGGCAGGCTCCGAGAGTACCTTTGTTGGGGATGTCGTGTTTGCAGCCAGGACTTGGCTGACGAAATCCAATGAGCCTCCAAGTTACTGTGCCTTATCGTTTAGGGGTTTAGGGGTTTAGGGTCCCAAAACCATCGACTGAAGGATTTATGACCCTAAAACCTAAACCTAAAGCCTACACCCTAAACCCTAATACCTAGGCAGTTCTCTGACTTAGGGTCCTTTTTTCCAGAGAAGGGAACCTGATTTAGAGAATTGCCCCTTTGGATCCCAGGGTTCAGAGACGTAGCTTTCGGGCTCAGAAGTTTCCAGTCTAGGTTTTCAGGATTTCGGGTTGCGGTTTTAGGTCGCAGCCTTCCAAGTTACAGCTTGGGGTTCAGGGTTTATTCTTCAGGGCTTAGGGTTCAGGGTTTAGGGTTTCGGGTTGGGGTTCAGGCTTTAGCCAGAGATTGCAGAAACTGCTCGGACATGAATTCAGGAGCCTTCTTGCATTGAGCCACTAGATCCAGGGCGCACGGCATAGGGCGCCAGACGGGCCTAAACGCTTAACACGATTCATCCCCTTATAGTCTCTCTATGCTTACACAAGCATGTGCCCCAAAAGCCCCGTTCGAACCCTAAACCCTAAACCCCTAAACCCTAAACCCACAGCCCTAAACCCCAAGCCCTGAACCCGTCAAAGCCCTAGCCGAAGGCGATGTGATGCACGACATTTTGGATTACCACGAGGCTAGCTGCCCTGCCACTTGTCGGCTCGGTGGGGCTCGGTGTGTGTTTCCGCGATAATGGTGCTTTGCGCCTGGGAGGGTTTAGGGTTTAGGGGTTAACGCTTTAGGGTGTCGGGTTTAGGGTTTAGCGTTTTAGGGTTTAGGTTTTAGGGTTAAGGGTTTCGGGATTAAGGGTTTCGGGTTTAGATTTTGAGGCAGACTGGGGTGTTCAAAGCCATTCTGGACCCTAAATACCACTTGTCATATGCGCTACAGTCCACATAGTTGCAGGGCGTCTGCACGAAGTGCCATTCATCTTCCTGAGGGTTCCAATTTTGTTTATGCCGCATTAGACCCCAAAGGGCTATTCAAATTGTTAAGGCCCCTACCTTGGGGTTTGCCTTGGACGAAACGAAGGTGGAAGCCCAAAGCACACTAAATCTCAGGATCTTCCCCGTAAACTTGGCCAAAGAAACCAAAGCCTCCAACTCCCAAGCTCAAAATCCCTAGCCCTAAACCATCCTAAACCCTACACCCCAGGCCCTAAACCCTAAATCCCGAGCAATATTGAAACGTAAACGTCAAAACCTGAAGCCGAAACCCAAAGCCCAGAAGGAGGAAGTTCGGACAAGAGAGACCCTCACACACAGGCGAGCCAAAAACACCGACAGAAACACTGTAGAAACCTCTAGACGTCCCTGCAGCACCTTGCAACCTCCAAACCCTTGGACCTAATTCTACACCCCAAAGCCAAAGCATAGGGTTCAGGGTTTAGGGCTTATAAACCCTAAACCCTAAACCCTAAACCCCTAAACCCTAAACCCCTAAACCCTAAACCCCAAAATTATGGGGTTTTAGGGTCTAGCCTTGGTCTTAAGAAGAAGAAGCCCCCAAGGACATCTTCAAGGAGTTTGGCAAGGACCTCAGCGAGGAACTGAGGCAGCGAAACGACGCTGGGATGCAAGCGGTAACGCAGGGTTTCGGGTTTAGGGGTTTAGGTTTGGGGGTTTAGGGTTTGGGGGTTTTGGGGTTAAGGGTTTAGGGGTTTAGGGATTTAGGGTTTCGGGATTTAGGGGTTTAGGGGTTTGGGGTTTCGGGTTTAGGAGGGTAAAGGTCGAGGAGGGTAGCGGGTTTCGACTTTGGGTTCCCTGAATCTGACGGTGTAGAATAGGGTTTAGGGTTTAGGGTTTAGGGTTTAGGGTTTAGGGACTACTTAGCAATTATGAAGGCCCCTAAACCCTAAACCCTGATGGTAGACCTTATAGAACCCTTTAAAGGAACCCTAAAACCCTATTCTAGTTATTTGCAGGTTTCGGGTTCCCAATGTTGAAAGGATCCGTCTGGGTGCCTTTTGCCTCATTCAGAGAGACCTCCGGCCTCGAACACGACACCCTGCAACCTGAAACCCCAAGCGGGCTTAGGGTTTCGGATTTTTTCCTAGGTAGTATTCGGGAGACCGCTTAAAGGGAACCCATCTTAACCCTACTTATGGCTCTCTTAAAAAGGCCCTTATTGAGAGGGTCTACATCCCCAAGGGTCCCCCTAATCCTAACTCCGAGTTTTGGGGTTTCGAGTCCGGTGTCTCGGGTTTAGGGTCTAGGGTTTAGGATTCGAATTGAAAGCATCAATGCTTAAACCCCAAAGCGCTACGGGCCATAAATGGAGTTATAAGTACCTTAAATGGAGTCACCCGGATTATAACCCTACGTGTAGCAGACTTACTAAGTCCCTTGGGCCTCCAAGTAACCCTCCCAGTATTGTCTAAGCCCTCAGCGCATTCAAAATAGGCAATGCTCCAAACCGTGACCAGAGCGGTTTTCAGAACCCTAAACCCTAAACCCTTAACCCTAAGCCCTAAGCTCTAAATTTCCAAAACGGTGGAACTCTAAGCCCCAAACCTCATCCCAACAGAGCAAGGAACTCCACTTTCTCGGGCCGAATCAGCCGGCGCCTTTCACTACGGCAGGTAGGAACAGGAGACCCTAAAGAAGGGTTTAGGACTTAGGGTTTAGGGTTTTGGGTGTCTAGGGTTTATCTAAGGACTTTAGGAGGGACCCCTAGTAGGGACCCTTAATCCCATTACCTCAAATAACCATTGTATAGTCCTTATATACCACTCATATAGCCAAGTAGTTTCCATATTAACCCCAAAACCTACAAGGGTCCCTATTAAGGGTCCCTCCTAAAGCCCTTAGAGTTTAGGATTTAGGGTATAGGGTTTAGGGTTTAGGGTTTTTCGGGTCCGGGGCATATAGTGGTTCTTGTCAGGGTTTGATATGGGTTCTAGACAGGTTTGCTTTCTGGAGCCGGGGTGTAGGGTTTAGGGTTGAATGATTAGGGTTTAGGGTTTATGGCTGTTTTAGGATTCTGCGTTTAGGATTGGTGTAGGGTTTAAGGCTTAAGGCTTAAGGTTCAGGTTTTGGATGTAACGGCTTGGGAGCTTTACAGTTGCTTTCGACTTAGTTTCAGCGATGCAACAGGGTTGCCTTTGGAGAACATGCCCTTGTATCACTTGCACGGCGATTCCACATTCCAAGCATGGGAACCGGTCTCTGCCTCCATCACTCCCGAAGAACCAGAAGTCCGTTTGCAGGTGAAGGCGCTTGGTGGCGCTCCAAAAGGAAAGCGTGTCATCACGTTGAAGAAGCTTATGACCAAGGGCGAGGTTTTGACCAAGACAAAGAAGGAAGTTGCTGACAAGGCGACGGTTGCTGACCCTGTCATCTTTCAAGCGTTGAAGGATGCTGATATGGCAATGGGTTCCTTCCACACCACGGCCGAGACTAACCCACAAGAAGCCTTCATCAATGCCATCAACGTCATGGACGAAAACTCGCTGCGCAATGCCTTGACTGCCCTTGATGCCAAAGCAGGTGGCACAACAGACTACAAGTTGAAGAAGTTGGCGCAGCGTATCTTTAACGGTGTGAGGCTTGGACCCCAAAACCCTACTCTAATGATTAAGACCCCTACATTAGGATTCAGGGCCAAGGGTTCGGAAGTGTAGGGTTCAACTGGAGTGCGGCTTTCTAGTTGAGGTCTAGGGTCTGGGTTTAGGGGTTACCTTAACCCCAAAATAACTTACCTTTTTAAGGACCTATATCAAGAAATCATAATGGGGAACCCTAAACAGGTAGGTCCTTTAGGGTCCAGGTCGGTATTAAACTCTAAGCCCTAAACCCTCAACCATTCAGGGCTTAGGGCTTAGGGAGTTGCTGGGTTCTGTTGCAGGACTTGTGACAGAATGTTTGGGAAAGGAAAATGCCCGCCGAGCTCGGTACCTAACTCAGATCCTGAGGTTTAGGGGCTAGGGGTTTAGGGTTTAGGGTTTAGGGTTTAGGGTTTAGGGTTTAGGGTTTAGGGTTTAGGGTTTAGGGTTTAGGGTTTAGGGTTTCATTGAGCTGAAAGTGTGCGGAGCCCCCAAGCACACAGCAGGAATGTATGCAATATAGAAGCCTAAATAATTACCTGTATTAATTATTCCCTAGGGTTCTTTATGATAACTGTACTATAAGGAGCCTAAAACTTTATTCTAATTATGTAGGCCCCTACATGATTCTGTAGCCGTTGAGTGCCAGTTGACGGGATGCCTTCAAGCTTTCCATCGTGACCATGCGGCCTTAAGGGCTGTCACATTCAGGGTTTAGGGTCTAGGGTTTAGGGTTTAGGGTTCAGAGTTCAGGGTTTAAGATTCAGGGTTTCAGGGCTTCGGGTGTAGGGTTTAAATTCAGGGTTTCAGGGTTTAGAGTTTAGGGTTTAGGATTTAAGACTCAGGGTTTCAGATTTTAGGGTTTGGAGTTTAAGATTCGGGGTTTCAGGGTTTAGGGTTTAAGATTCAGGGTCATGGGATGTTTGGGGTTCAGGTAAGGGTTTGGGGTGTGTGGAAGCGGAGTGCGAGGTGTTGTTTTCCGGGGCGGCTGAAGGAATCCAGAGACATGGGTGAGTAATATGCGGGCTTGAACACTTCTGAATAATTACACATACTATTTTGGGGGTTCCTTATTATACCTTCCGTAGTATAATCATCCCAAAACCCTATTCTGATTATTAAGGCCCCTGTACCAGACCCTTATCGAAACCCGTATAGAACCCCCAAAAGGAACCCTTCTGGACCCCTCTAAAGGAGCCCTGATATACCCCAAAGCCGTATTCTAATTATTGAGGCCCCGTCATTACGAAGAGTGGACAGCGGCATACGGGCTACTTAGAGGTCCAGGGGACCTCTTAACTGGGTTATCAGTAGAGTTATAAGTACCCTAAATGGAGTTACCCCACTTATGGCCCTACTTATAACCGACTTACTAAGTACCCTGGGCCTCCAAGTTCCCTATCGTTTAGGGTGTAGGAGTTCAGGGGTTTAGGGTCCCAAAACCATCGACTGGAGGATTTATGACCCTAAACCCCTAAACCTATTTATACTCAACTTACTACGTCCTCTGAGCTTCCAAGTAGCCACTGGGTCCTCTTCCTTCGCTCCAGAGCGCTGGACTGAAGAGGTCATTGGGTTTAGGGCTTAGGGTTTAGGGTATAGGATTTAGGGTTTAGGGATTAGGGATAGGGTTTAGGGCTTAGGGATTAGGGATAGGGTTTAGGGTTTAGAGTTTAGGGTTTAGGGTTTAGGGTTTTGGCAAGCTCCAGAAACACCCGCAGCCCCTAATGTAGGGGCCTTAATTATCAGAATAGGGTTTTGGGGTTTCCTTACAATATTTTATAGTGTAAGATACCCCCGAACCCTATTCTAATTAATGAGGCCCTTATTTTAAACTCCTACCTTGGACTCAAACCTTAGTACACTTGAATGTAAGGCTCTCAGTGGATCTTTCTGCAGTGTAAATGATCGTAGGGTTTGGGGTTTAATCAGGTTTAAGCTTGCAGGGGTTGCAATGTGGAGGTTGATTGACATCGTATGGCAACAGTTTGATCCGGTCGCAGTAAAAGAACTCAGAAATCCCGATTTGGAGCACACCTGTCATACTTCAGTTTGCGAGGTTGCTGTGTTTCGGGCTGCGCCGTCAGTCTTCCGTGTTTAGGGCTTCCAGGCCTTGGCTTTTGGTTTCAGGCTTACTTTCATGATTTGCTACTGATGGTCTAGGTTTCAGAATTTCAGGAACCGTCAACTCGAAATTCGCGCAATAAACCAGAGTTTGATCCTTCAGGTTTACTAAACCCTAAGCCATAAACCCTAAACCCTGAAGCCGTAAACCCTGAACCCTAAACTTTACAAGCCATAAACCCTATAAGCCCTAAGGCTTAGCGCGGTGTTGCGGCAGGAGCGAAGGCTACAACTTCTACCAGTCGGACGCTGGCAGCGAAGTCTTACTAGGCAGGAGCGGCGACATCTGCGTATTCACTGATGAAGCTCCCTAAACTCCGTAAACCCGACCTGGACCCTGAACCCTGAGCCCACACTCAAACCCTAAACTCTAAGCCCTCAACCCTAAACCCCCTTCTCGAAGCCCGAAACTCTGAACCCTGATCCCAGCTCTGTGAAACTCAATCGCGGCTGCTCGAAGATCCCACATCCTTTCCCTTTAGAGTCATCCGTCTGCCCTGCTATCCTATCTACCTGTTAAGCAGAGCGTCCTCGCGGCAGGATGTCTAAGGCCACAGCAAAACAGGGGTCGGAAAATTACGGATGGTAAACCCCTAAACCCTAAACCCCTAAACCCCAAACGCCCCCCATGTCAAAAACCCCCAAGCCCCGTACTGATGGCCAAGGCCAATACTTGGAGGCCCAGGGGACTTAGTAAGTCGGTTATAAGTAGGGTTATAATTGGGGTAACTCCATTTAGGGTACTTCTGCAACTCTAATTACAACCTACTTACCAAATCCCCTGGAACTCTAAGTAGAATATACCCAAACTCCTTATTCTAGCTACGGAGTGCCCAAAAGCAGCCAGGTAGCTATAACTCCACTTATAACCTACTTACTAAGTCCCCTGGGCCTCCAAGTATCTTTTGTATGTGGGAGAGCCCCGGGCCCCCGGGTAGATTCGACATTAGGGTTTAGGGTTTAGGGTTTAGGGTTTAGGGTTTAGGGTTTAGGGTTTAGGGTTTAGCAAAATCCGGCCTTGATTCTGGAGGGAGCTGTGGGCGGAGCTGGGGGGAGCTGCGGGCGTCCATTTGGCGGGACCAGAAAAGGGTCCCTCCCGAGATCGGCCACGAGCCTATTCTAAAACACACATTTTACGAAAAGAATTTAAATAGTCCGTAGGCTCTGGTGGGGACGCTACTCTGGAGCCTAGAAACCAAAACGCAAAACCCAAAACCCAAAATCCAAAACCCAAAACCCAAAACCCAAAACCCCAAATCCAAAACCCAAAACCCAAAATCCAAAATCCAAAATCCAAAATCCAAAATCCAAAATCCAAAATCCAAAATCCAAAACCCAAAACCCAAAATCCAAAACCCAAAAGGTCTTCCCTCTCCTTTTGTCTTAAGCAAGCCACTTAGAACCCAAAACGCAAAACCCAAAA